CAGCAACCCGGCCCCCGGCTCAAAAAGGTTGCCTACCCCTGTTCTGAGGGATGCTGCAGGAAAGCAGAAGGCATCCGAGGCTTGTCTGGCAGGCTGGCTAAAAATAATAATAATAATACTTGCTAAAGTCGGAGAAGGGGGCAGAGCCACGTGCTCCCATGTGCACATGCTGCCTCCTTGGGCTCAGGAGTTTGCAGGAGGAGGAGGAGTGTGTTTGTATGTGCGTGCCTTTGCCTGGTGGGTGTACGTGCTCCTGCTGGCGTGTGCTGCTTGCATGTGCTGCCTCATCCTCCCTGACCTCTCCCTTCTGTGCGGTCAGCTGTAGGGACTCTAGAATAGGAGCTCGGTAGCAAAACCTGGTGGAAGCTTTACAGATTTTGTGCAGATCAGAGGATCAATTCAGGAGGCAGATCCAGATGAATCTAAAGGTTTTGTTTTATTGCCATCCCTGGCACTGTTGTGTTCCTGTTTTCATAGATGAGGGGCTCCAAAACGTGGATCTTCAGATTGTTGTTAGACAATACAGGTCCCAGAAACCCAAGGCCACATATTTGAAAGAATGTCATGTTGAGGATGGAGCGAGTTTGTTTTCTGCTGCTTCAGAGATTAGGAAATGGAGCAATGGATTCAAACTACAGGAAAAGAGGTTCCACCAAAACATTAAGAAGAACTTTCTGATGGGGAGAGCTATTGAAGTGGAATGCGCTGCTTCGGAGTGTGGTGGAGTCTCCTCCTTTGGAGGTTTTTAATGCAGAGGCAGGATGGTCATCTGTATGGAGTACTTTGATTGTGTATTTCTGAATGGCAGGGGGTTGGATTGGATGGCCCTTGTAGTCTTCCAGTGCTATGATTCTATGTTAAAAAGACAGGTTTTCTGGGAGTTGTAGTCCAACATCTTGAAATCCAACTCCCCACCCCCACCATTCATGCTAGCAGGGGCTTTGGGGTGTTGTAGTTCAATATCTAGGGATCCAAGTTTTTGACTCTTGTGCAGCTGGAGAGTTAACCCCAACTGGTGAATACACATGTACAGTACATACTTGCAGAGGTGGAACATAGTGTCTGAGAAATAGCTGCAAAACTATGATTTCACATCTTCCCTCTGTGCTAATAATTCCCTAGGTCAGCGATTCCCAAACTTTAGAATTCCAGGTGTTTTAGACTTCAGTTCCCAGAAGCCCCAGTCAACTTGACCAACATTTGGGAATTCTGGGAGCTGAAGTCCAAAACATTTGATAGATCTTTTTTCTCTCCACACCTTCTCTGCTTAATTGCTTTCCTCCCTTCTCCATCTCCTTCTGGAATATGGAGATTAACATCCCAGGTTTACATTATACAGTTGCTGGGTGGACCACTCTAGAAATGCTAGTTGGTTTAATGGTAATTAGTAAAAAAATTACCTTCCCCCCCAAAAAAGCTAGATAGTTACTGCTATAGTTACAATATAGTACTTATAATATTGAGCGCCAGAGTTTGCAACATTGAAAACAATTTAAAAACTGTTTATGGATTTTGAGCAGTAAGAAATCTTAACAATGCAAAAAAAGTGAAGCTATCCCATATTATATTGCAATTGTAGTCATAGAATCATAGAGTTGGAAGAGACCACAAGGGACATCCAGTCCAACCCCCTGTGTTTTAGTCTTGAGTAAGTTATTACTTAATGATCTCGAAAAGGGAATTAAAGGTAAAAGAAGAATTAACTTCAAATAACATATTTTGAGCATTGACTTCCAAGCTCTGCTGCAACTACATGGGAAGTGCTTTGAGCACTACACAGATGTTGTATCGTTAAAAATTCGGGCTAGAGAAACTTGTGTGGTGAAAGGCCACTGAAGTGGGATAACGCATGAACCCTGAGACAAGAAGTACTTTCTAAGGAGAGGTTGTTGTGGAAGGAACAAGCAGTAAATTACATAACGGAGGTGCTGTCAACAGAAACAAGTCTGTTCTAGCATTAATGGTTGATGGACGAAAATATCAAGTTTTATTTGCTACCTTGGCTGCTTTGCCAGATGGCAAGCAGCATTTAAGAATATGTTTGGCAAAGATTGTGCTTTGTTTTTAAATGTTCAGAAAAGGGGTGTGTGTGTTGTTTTAGCAATATGTTTGGCATCTCATTTAGAACTGGAGATATAACAAGGTGGTTTGTATTCTGTTTATTTATTTATGTGGTTTATATCATACCTTCTTTCCAAAATTGAAATTTGTGTAAATAATTGAGTTGGCATGGATTCTGACTCAAAGTGTAAACTCGATATGCCCCAGAAATGACCATCTGAGCTATGTTATGTACTGACTGTTCTTCAGTATTTTTGAATGGTTCCCCCCTCCCCTTGCAATAATATATGTTTACAAGATAAACTGGGAGATAGCTGCTTCCTCAGAGGGTAGCCTATTAGGTAGAGAAACAGCTATGGTGCTTCTTATTGACTATTTACCTTCACTCTAACACAGTATATGTGTGTATGTGTGTGTTACACATATATATAGCACATTTGACTGTTGATGTGGGAAAGGGGGAAACAAAGTGTGTGATATCAGACCAGGGGTCGGCAACCTATGGCCCGCGGGCCGCACCCGGCCTGCCAGCCAACCCCTGCTGCCGCTGCATGTGTCGCAGCCGCCATTTTGTTTGTCAAAATGACAGCTGTGACTCGTTTGCGCATGCGCAGGAATACTGTGCATGCGCAAATGAGTCGCGGCCACCATTTTGGCAAAAAAAAAATGGCCACGACGTGTGCGGCGGCAGGAGTTGGTGGCAGTGGGGGTTGGCGGGGGTCTGGCGGAAGACCTGGGGACCAGCAACCGGCCCCAGGTAAGTAAACCTTGCTGACCCCTGTATTAGACAAACGGCCAACCATTCTCTTTAATTAACAGGATACAATTTGCTTCAGCAGCACCAGTACTAAAATTGGAGCAAAGAGAATATTATTAGTAACATACAAGGACAGTGTGCAGATTTGTAAAGTGTTGGTCCTAAGAGAGGAGTCACCACCATTCAAAAAAGAATTCCACATGAGTAATCAGGTGCAGTCTGTCTGTGCTGTGAGCAGGTGAGATCTCAGCACTTGCTGATTTTGGAGGATCATCGCCATTCTTTTTTCCTCCTAGCTTGGATTGATGTCAGTTCTTGGGACTGGAATACTAAATAAAAGCACATTGGCATGTCTGCAGCAACATTCATCTGTCAAGTCTCTGTTACATATGTGTATATGTTTAGTAGTTGGCGTTTCATTTCAGAGGGCTTGCAATTGGGTTCTGGGTTTCGGATCTTTCCTAGTTGCCAACTCTGTATAATCAGCAACTATTTTGTGCTTGAATGTTTGTCCTTAGATACTGCATTTATTCACCACCTTTTCCCTAAAGCAGTTTACAGTTTAAAGTAATGGTTTATAAGAGGGCCAGCGTGGTGTAGTGGTTTGTATTGTGGTAGGAGTCTGGGAGACCACGGTTCGATTCCCAGCTTGGCCATGGAAACCCACTGGGTGACCTTGAGTGAGTTGCACACTCTCAGCCCCTAAAAACCCTATAATAGGGTCATAAGTCAGAAACAACTGGAAGGCATACAGTAGCAGTTTGAATCTAATGGAACATGAATGCACAGGAATGGAGTGGGAATTGGGAAGGGCGAAATAAGCAAATTTGTGTACTAACTATGTGCACTGTTGTATGATGACTCAGTGGATTGGTCATTATCAGAGCATGAGAAAATCACCTTTTTGGATCATGTCTCCCAGAATCATCCAGCCTCCTTGGAAAGTACATGACCAATGGCTATGTTGGCTGGGTGATTCAGAATTCTTGTTCCCCAAAGGTATATTTTCCAAGTTCTGTTCTCTGCACGGAACAGTTTTAGGAGGAGAGGAACCAAAATAACAATTGGTCTCAAGCAGCCTCCTCTGCCTTGGATGCTGTCCAAGGGGAACAGCTACAGACAAACAGTTTTGAGGATTAAAAACACAACAAATGGGATTTGGATCTCTTTGATAGAGGAGCCTTAAGGTGTCTTAGCTGGAATGGGGAGTGACTTTCATGTCAGTGGGGCAGTAAATACACCTCAGATTCTAGTCTGAACTTTAAATGAGTTATCCAGGGTGCCAAACCTATTTTAGGGACAGGGAATAGAAACTTGGATAGCTCCTTTATTCAGACCTGGGGTGGAGGCACTGCCTCATTGAAAGGATCCACCAACCACAGCATTATGCCCAGCATTATGTCTCTTGCTTGGATGCAGCCAGTTGTTTTAACCTTGGACAACATACTTTGTGAGAAGCAGCCTCAGGTTATTATTTAATTATTCATTTCATTTTTATGCCTCCTTTCTCTCAGAAAGGGACACAAGGTAGCTCACAAGGAAAAAAACCCCACTAAAACCTTGCACCAAAAACTTAAAAACAATTAAAATAATCCAGTTAAA